CCAGCGATCCATTCGCCTCAGCCTTCCAAGTAGCTGGAAATACAGGCACGCGCTACCACGCCCGGCTGAGTTTTGATTTATTGTAGAGATGAGGTCTCGGCAAGCTGCCCGGGCTGGTCTCAAACCCGTGAGCTCAGGCAATTCTCTTGCCTTGGCCTCCCAAAGTGCTAGGATTACAGGCTTGAGTTATTGTGCCTGACCAAGAGATATTCTTTATCTATAATAAACTACACCAGTTTCAGCCAGGAGCAGTGACTCACGTCTGTAACAAGCCTGAACAACTTGGCGAGACTTCGTCCCTAAAATATAATGAAAAAAGAAATTTTTTAAAAATGCACCAGTTTTAAGTGTACATCTCTATGAGTTTTGACAAGTGTATATACCTAGGCAATTACCACCTCTGACAAGACATAGAATATTTCTTCACAAAGTCCTTTCCCAGCCAATACTCCCATCCTTGCCCATACAGCAATGGATCTACCTTCTGCCACTGTATATTCGATTTGTGTTTTTCAGGGTTTCATATAAATGAGATAATATAGTATATATTCTTTTGTGACTGTTTTTTTCACTCAACATATATTTTTTTAGATTTATCCATTCCATTGCATGTATCAGTTTACTCCTTTTTATTGCTGAATAATGTCCCATCACATGGATCTTCCAGAATGTGTTTATCCACTCACTTGTTGATGGAAATTTGGGTTGTTTCCAGTTTAGGCTACTATGGGTAAAGCTATAGATAGCATGGGTATATATTTTCATTTCTTTGGGATAAATACCTAGGAGTAGAATTTCTGGGTCCTACAGTAAATATATGCTTAACTTTGTAAGAAAAGCCCAGGCTGTTTTCCAAAATATTTGCACAGTTTTACCAGATCATCAGGCATGTATGAGAGGTCCAGTTGCTTCACATTTCCCCCAAAGCTTATGCTTGCATGCTCGCTCTCTCTCTCTCTCTCTCTCTCTTCTCTTTTCTCTCTCTTTCTTTCTCTCTCTCTCTCTTTCTCTCTGTCTGCTTCTCTCTCTCTCATTGGGCTTTTAATTTTCACTTCTCTGATGACTAATGGTGTTGAATATCTTTCCACATATATCAGCTATTTGTATATCTGCCTTTGTGAAGTGTCTATTCAAATCTTTTGCCCATTTGAAAAATTAAGCTGATAGTCATCTTGTTATTGAGTTATAAGAGTATTGTATATATTCTGGATACAAGTCCTTTGTCGGATATTAGTGTGGTATATATCATCTCCCATTCTATGTCTTGCCTTTTGAGAAGTTTTTTTTTCTTTTTTTATACAAATTTATTGAGATATAAGTCAAATATCCCTTGTTAGGGTTCTTAACTGTATCTTTTTAAAAAAATTTATTTATTTATTTTTTGAGTTGGAATCTCACTCCGTCACCCAGCCTGGAGTGCAGTGGCCGCTCCTGGCCACCGCAGCCTCGACATGCTGGGCTCCGGCGATCCTTCCGTGGAACTACAGGCACACGCTACCACGCCCGGCTAATTTTTTTTTATTTATTGTAGAGATGGGTCTCACCAAGTTGCCCAGGCGGGTCTCGAACCCGCGGGCTCAGGCAATCCACTCACCTCAGCCTCCCAAGGCTTACAGGCTGAGCCACCGAGCCCGGCTTATTTTTAATTTTTTTTAGTTGAGATCTTACTCTGTCGCCCAGACTGGAGTGCAGCAGCACCATCACAGCTCATCATAGCCTCAAGCTTTTTCTTAAGAGTGGAATTTTAAATTTTTGATGAGTTCTAAATTATCAGTCTTTTTTCTTTTCTGGTTCAGGCTTTTTGTGCTCTATCTAAATATCTGCCTATACCAAGGTTGTGAAGATTTTTTCTCCCATATTTTCTTCTAGAAGTTGTATGATTTCAACATAAATTTATGTCTGTTTCAATTTAATTTTTGCATATGGCATAAGGTAGGAATTGAAATTCATAGAAACTGTTTTTTCTTTAAGTATATTAATAAACAAAACACATGGCAAGGTGCAGTTTTAAAGACCAGGTCACAGACCAAACCAGAAATGGTCACTATTTCTCAACATCACATTGCTAAAGCAGTCACTGGTATAAAAGCAGATTTTGTGGTTTCTTGTGTGAAGGGGTTCCAGGTAGTAGTACTCATATATGTACTTCCTGTTCATCATCCTGACTGTTCATTCTCACCTCTCAGCTGGGATTAACACAAAAATGAATTAAAACAAAGAGCAGCTGTGGGGGAGGTGAGGGAGGCATCTGGGCAAGAAAAGGTAAAAGAAAATGTGAAATCTTACCCTGCCCCAATAGACATAAGCCCCAGGTTGATAGGTGGTTGCTTTTCAGATGTGATTTCATTAGTAAACCAAAGGTACTGGGGCCAAAAATACTTCCTTACTGATTTGCCCCAGTGTCCTAATCCCCATTAGAAGTCACATCCCGGTAAGGCATTAATGAACTGAAATCCCCTGTGAGAATACACATGGCCAGGTGCAGGGAGTGGGGTTCTGATTTCTTTATTAAATCTATCAACAGCTTCTTGGGAAAGGTAATGCAAGCCCCTAAGGGGGCAGGGATTGCATTGTGGGAGGAAAAGGAAAGCAGGGAAGATCTAGAATAGGCATGTCCAAACTGCAGCCTGTGGACTGCATGCAGCCAGGATAGCTAGTAATGTGACCCCACAAAATCTTTTTTTTTTTTTTGAGTTGGAGTCTCACTCTGTCACCCAGACTGGAGTGCAGTGGCCGCTCCCGGCCACCGCAGCCTCACCTGCTGAGCTCCGGCGATCCTTCCGCCTCAGCTTTCCAAGTAGCCGGAATTACAGGCATGCGCTACCATGCCCGGGTGATTTTTTGAATTATTGTAGAGATGAGGTCTTGCTGCCCAGGCGGGTCTCGAAACCGCGGGCTCAGACATTCCACTCACCTCAGCCTCCCAAAGGCGTGGGATTACAGGCTGAGCCACCGAGCCCGGCCCCCACAAAATCTTTTAACATCATGTGTTTTTTTAGCGTTTATGTTCTTTGTGACCTCGTGTCATTCCATTTTTGAAGTTCACAATCGCACCTTATTCATGACATCTCTTTTTGGTATCGTATGCATGTGTGAGCAGCTGTTTTCAATTATGAAGCACACAAAGAGCAAAGTTGGAACAAACATTTCTGATGAGCACCTTGAGAACTCACTGAGAGTTTCCATTGAACCAGACACTGAAAGATTCGTTTTAGAAAAAACAAGGTCAAATTTCCCACTAGTTTATATTGTTCTCATTTTTTTCTAAACTTTATAATAGAAAAAATATTTAAAAGATCTTATTAGGTATATACACTAACTATATTATATAATTTATGTGCAGCCCAAGACAATTTCTTTTTACTCAGTGTGACCCAGAAATGCCAAAAGATTGGACACCCCTGATCTACAACAAGGTATAGAGTTCCCATATTGCAATCAGATTTGCTGATCTAAAAGTTAGAGCACAGAGTCTATTAAGAAAATATTTAATTTTCTAATTTGTGAATTTTTAGCCAAAAAATTAAAAAAATGAACAATGTCTCAACATTGAAGTTGGTCATTGTTCAAACTATCCCAGAGTATCCTGCATATCCAGTTTTCATACTCATCAGGAATAAGGGGGAGGTGGGTATCTGTGGGAAACTCTAAGTCGACATTTTTCTATGAGAGAATCAATTTAACATTTTCTAAATTAGAAAGCACAGGATCCAGAGGGAGGGGAAAGCAGACCTCAACCACTGTGCAGTCTAGCCTAGTGACACAGAGAATGACTTCTGGGTAAGGAACAGACCTTTAAGAAAGAGTGTGCCATAAGGCAGAAAAGACATCACCTTTCTGGTCATCACTCCGTAATTCAGTACCTGTCTCCTGATTGAGCTTTTGCTGCATTTTCAGCAGACAAAAATTAAGATGCAAATTGCATATAGAGAAAAATACATACAATTTCTTTATTAAAATGAAGACAAAATTTCTGTAACTGTGGAAAGTCAAGTTACATCATCAAAGTTGTTTTCTTTAAAAGTAGAAGTAGGCAGGTTTCACAATACAGAATGTCTTTTTGTGTCAGTAATATTGCTTCAGGAGAGACAGCATTTCACAGATCTTTCCTGTAACTTCCAGAAAATTCAGCCAGCCGGATTTGGGCTCAAACTTCTTTACAAAGCCATTTTCCTACGAGAGAATAAATTTAACATTTTTTAAACTAATAGAGACTGTTTAGTGGAATAAAAAGAAACTTTTATTTAAATAATGCAAATAGTTCATCTTCTCTGTACTTTCACCAGTTGAATTTTATTCATCCTCATCATTGTTCTCTACTTCCAATTCTAGACCCTTCTAAAGCATCATTGTCTAACAGAAATATGGCATATATATGACTCTCATTTTTTGCAACAACATTTTTAAAAGTAAAAAAAGAAGGCAAAATTAATTTTCAATAAATAGTCAATTGAACAAATCCAAGATACTATACTAATGTGTAATCAGTATAAAAATCATTAATGAGATATTTTCTTTTCTTTTCTTTTCTTTTTTTTTGAGTTGGAATCTCACTCTGTCACCCAGGCTGGAGTTCAGTGGCATGCTCAGGGCCACCCCAGTGTCAACCTGCTGGGTTCCGGTGATCCTTCCGCCTCAGCCTTCCAAGTAGCTGGAACTACAGGCATGCGCTACCATGCCCGGCTAATTTTTTATTTACTGTAGAGAGACTTCTCACTAAGTTGCCCAGACTGGTCTCGAACCCCTGGGCTCAGGCAATCCACTCGCTTCAGCCTCCCAAAGTGCTGGGATTACAGACTGAGCCACCAAGCCCGGCCCTATTCTTTTTTTCATACCAAATTTTCAAAATTCAATGAGTGTTTAGTACTTAGAGCACATCTTAATTCAGACTAGCCACATTTCAATTCCAATAGCCACGGGTGACTAGTGACCATCATGTTGGACAGCAAGCACAGCTCTAGAAGATAGATTCATTTTTTTTCTCTTTCTCATTCAATTGCCTAAATACATTGATTTCAATGTATTTATATTGGTAATGTAAATTGCATTATGTTGTATTTGTATTGTATCGACAATCATAAGGACTCACAATAAATCCAAATTAAACCGCTTGAGTCTATGAAAAGTTTATGATGATTTCTGTTACAATTCATCTTCTTTGTGATCAGACATAGTTTGCTTAAAAATAAGATAACCAGGCCAGACATGGTGGTTCATGCCTATAATCTCAGCACTTTGGCCGAGGTGAGAGGATTGCTTGAGCCCAGGAGTTCAAGACTAGCCTGGGCAACATAGTGTGACCCTGTCCCTACAAAAAATTAAAACATAAGCTAGGTGTGGTGGCACACACCTGTAGTCCCAGCTACTTAGGAGGCTGAGGCGGAAGCATCACCTGAACTCGGGAAGTTAAGACTGTCGTGACCCGTGATTGTGCCCCTGCACTCCAGCCTGGGCAACACGGTAAAGACTCCAACTCAAAACCAAAAAAATGAACTTGACACTGTATGTAGTTAAGTTACACTCTATAATTATAGAACATTCTCACTGAAAAATACCTCTGAGATAATTTACCCTAATGCCCTCTCTTTTTAACAATTGAGGAAATTGAAGCCCAGAAAAAAAAAAAAGCTATCTAAGATTACAACTCCATAATGCCTGGACCTGGATCAGAATGCAAATACTCTACTTTCTACTCCAGATATTTCCAAACAAATGCCAAAAGGATTAGAAAATTGTTAAGATAATTTTCTAAAATGTTCATGCAGCAAACATTTGCTCTGCATCTTGCAAGTTCCAGAACCCAGGACCACGAATGCCTGCAAGCATCTCCCAGCCTAGTGTGACTAATACTGGAAAGTAAACCAAGCATAATTCTTTGGGAGCTCTGCAGGGCTCTGGAATCATCTCTGAGAGCATCCCTGGCAGAGCAGATGAAGACCAGACTGGGGAATTTTCCACTTGAAAGATTGCCTGAGGAAGCCATTTCTGGGTACGTGTGAAGGCGAAGTTGTGATCTGAGGCACACTGTCACGCCCTGACAGAGGGAGGAAATTGTCTCCTCTCTTCTTCCGCCCCCATACATTCTAGGTATGTATCCACTTCATTGCTCCTTTTCCTAGAATTTTCATAAACCCCATATTTGGCAAGTATAATGAGACCCTCTAAAATGATTTTTTATTATTATGACAATGAGCAACATCTATTGTGATTACGCAGTTAACATGTCATCTTATATACATTCAACTTCTAAAGGAAGGATAGTGAACAAAAGGGGAAAAAAAGGACAAATTCAGCTAGATGAAGACTAAATTTTTTCTAAAAGCTAAAATTAAAAGAACAGTAGGCTAGGAAAATATTTACATTTCCCACGAAAGTGTTCATTCAACTGGAAGAGAAAATCATCAAGTCCTTAAAAATAAAAAGGGGAAGGCCATCGAAAAAAGAGGTAGAAATCATTAACAAATATATGGGAAAAAACTCAACATAACCAGCACATAAAGAAATGTACATTTTAACACATAATTATTTTTTTAGACCTACTAAATTGGCCTTGTTATTTTAAACCTATTAAACTCTCAAAATTATTTTTAATGGTATTACTCAATATTGATAAGGTTGTTGTGACATTGTTCCATTGATAGAATCCTTTTGGAAAGCAAATACATATTCTAATATGTCTGAGTACTGTGATTATACTCATGTATTATGAGACAGTCATTCTACTGTTAGAAACTTATCATGAGCCAGTCTTCTAAAACATGGGGGGATGGGGGGCCAAAGGGTAATACACCCATGTTCAGTATCGAAGCAATATTTCTAAGGGGAAACTGAAACAAGCCAAATGTCTAGCAATTGGAAATCAGTTAAGTAAATGGTGATACAGCAAATTCGTGGAATATTCTTTAGACATTAGATCTGTTAACATGGAATGTATAAAGCAGTGTTGAAAATATTTATAATATAATGTCATATGAAAAAGTTCTTATGCACACCCTAATTATAATTGCATGTGTCTGCATGTGGACTTGTTAGGTTAGTGGGAGTCATTTTTCTTCTTTTCAAAATATTTTTTCAAATAGATTCATTCCAAAAATATTTCCTTTAATGATGCAATCTGTATCTTAAAATCATCATGTAAAAATAAATATACAAATAAAACTTTTATATCCTGTCAGAAATGTGGTCCTACAGAAGGAATGCTCAGGTCTGATTATTTCTGGGAATAGGGATAGTTTGTTAAGTTCAGCTACCTTGCTTTCAAGACAGCCCAATGCCTAAGGTAATATATTATATCAATAATCCAAAGGAATGTTTAAGAGATAGAGGCAATTGACATACTAGTCCCAATTCTCTGGAGATTATTCATTTACTATTCATTCAAGCAAAATTAATTGAGCATTGACCACATGCCAGGTACTCTTTAAAACAGGGATCCCCAGGCCCCAGGTCACATACTGGTACCTGTCTGTGCTGTTAGGAACCTGGTCACACAGCAGCAGGTGGGCAGCAGGTGAGTGAGTAAAACTTCATCTGTATTTACAGCTGCTCCCCATTGCTCACATTACTGCCTGAGCTCCACCTCCTGTCAGATCAGCACAGCATTAGATTCTCATAGGAGCGTGAACCCTACTGTGAACTCTACATGTGAGGGATCTAGGTTACACACTCCTTATGAGAATCTAATGCCTGATGATCTGAGGTGAAACTGAGGCAGTGATGCTAGTGCTGGGGAGCGGCTGCAAATATAGATTAACATTAGAAGTGAGGTTTGACTGCACAGAGACTATAATAAATCAATTGCTTGCAGACTCATATCAAAACCCTATCAGTGAGTAGCAAGTAAGTTGATGGACTTCAATTGTACAGCTGCATCTGGTGGCAGGTTTTAAGTCAGAATCCAACATTTATTTTAGTCCACACATGGCCTGCCCATTATTTTATTTACCACCTCCCTTCATGCCTCTTTTTTTTAAATGGTGAGTTGTATAATTATTTTATCATATATTATAATGTAACAATAATAGAAATAAAGAGCACAATAAATGTTATGTGCTTGAATTATCCTGAACCATCCCCTCACCCCAGTCCATGGAAAAATTGTCTTCCATGAAAAGGTTGGAGACTGCTGCTTTAAAGTACTAAAAGCATAGTGGTAAACAAAGCATACAGGATCCCTGACAGTATAAATTCCTGTCACAGAGACAGACAATAAATAGACAAGTAAATCCATATGTAGTGGGATGTCCAGTCATGAAAACTATTAGGAAGCAAATAGAGCCAATAGGGAGCTAGAGGGAGGGAGTGGTACTATCTTAGATGGGGTCTCTGAGGAGATAACCTTGGAACAGGGATCTGGGTGAAAGGAAGAAAGGAACCATGCAAAATTCTAGGGGAAATTATTTCAGGCAGAGGCACTAGCACATGTGAAGGCCCTGGGGTGGAATGTGCTTTGCTTATCCAGCGAGGCTGGAGCTATGAGGGTACCAGGAGGGATTCATAGAAAATGAGATTTGAGGGCCGGGCTCGGTGACTCAGCCTGTAATCCCAGCACTTTGGGAGGCCGAGACGAGTGGATTGCCTAAGCCCACAGGTTCGAGACCAGCCCGGGCAACTTAGTGAGACTTTGTCTCTACAATAAATCAAAAATTAGCTGGGCATGGTGGCACACACCTGTAGTTCCGGCTACTTGGAAGGCTGAGGCAGAAGGATCGCCTGAGACCAGCAGGTCGATACTAAGCTGGCCGTGAGTGTGCCACTGTATTCCAGCCTGGGCGATGGAGTGAGACTCCAACTCAAAAAAAAAAAATGAGATTTGACTTAGAGGTCAAGTCACATAGAGCTTTGAGTACAGCAGTCAGGACTTTGTATTTTTGTTCCCAGAATAAAGGGGTATGTTGGAGGGTTTTGATTCGGCCAGAACAGGATCTAATTCAAGTGTTTGAAATAATAACTCTGGCTATGTGGAGACAGATCATAGCAGGGGAAGGATGGAGTAGAGAGACTGGCAAATGGCTACCCATGTGGTCAAGTGAAGGAAGAAGGTGGGTGGCCTGGGTACACACACAGCATTTTGAAGGGGCAACCAGCAGGCTTAGTTGAAGGATTGGATGTGGGCTGTGAGGGAGGGAGTCAAGGCTGACTCCCAAGGCTAGAGAGCTGGCCCTTCTGGAACT